TGATTATACAAGGTTATTCTACATAGGCGGGCTCAGATTTTTTTCGTAAATTGTGCAAAATATTATTTAAGTATAGGTAATTTAAAATTACCCTTCCTCAATTTTTTTTTCAGTTTWAAGTTATATAAATAATTATATGATTAATATTTTATATTCTGAGCCAATCAATGAATTTGTTTATTTTACAATGTATACATTTTTTTATTTTAAATTTTGTTCTTTTAGAAATAATGGATTAATACTTTCAAGCAGATTTCTACAGGTTGTAAATTGTATCTAGTTTGTACTTTTGGTTAATCAAAAGTAGACGCTTTTATAGGTTGAATTTCAACCAACCGTTGAAATAAATCTATTATCAATTAATAATAATTATTAATAAATACTATTATTATATCGTAATTAATAATTGTTTGGTAATCATGTCACTATGGTTACTAAAATGTTTTACCAATTATTACCATCACTACTCAGAATTATAATTCTTCATTGTATTATAGAAATATTTATCATTAAATTCAAGTTAAACACATTGCATTGCAATAACTATAGAAAGTACCTAGTGATATAAATCTACTAAATTAAGAGGTACAGTCGACATCTACTTACCGTAAACTATAGAGCATATACTTACCTAACCTATTTTGATATACACATTATTACCGTTTTTACCTATACGTAAATGCAATTAAATAATAATTATAATAATATATGCAAATAAATCAAAATTTGTWCTTTAGACTCCTTAGAGTAACTATTAAGTATATCTACATGAGAATTTTTCACACACTTCGTGTGCATTCGTATAATAAATACATATTAAATTATATAATATATAATATTTATGTAATAATAATAATATAAGTCATTATGATTCATCAGTTATAACTATAATAAATATAATATAAATTCATTAAATGATTCTCAAAATAAAAATAATTAGTCTTTAGACTCGAGCACTCAGCTCACATTGCCACATATTATGAAATATAGGGCAACTAACCAACAAATTATTAAGTCACCCTATAAATATTTCATTATTTGTACAAATTTCTACACAAATTAATAGATAATACTACATCAGCTGCAGGTTACATTATAATAACCGTTTAATCAAATTTTCATAGAATAAAATAGTTATTGTGGATTTTCCTATTGTATTGTTCAATCAAATACTTTGTCGTTTTCTTTTAAAGGTTTAAATTATAGAAAAGAGACTGGACCACAGAGTTTTTGTATTTCAAAGGCATCCTCTTGTCAAATTTCCTAGTTATTAATTTTATTTATTTTTTTCTGTGGGGGTTTGAGGCTTCGACAACAAGGGCCATCAACCTGTGGAACTGTGAGGGAAGGAACTGTAGGTTTGGTACTCGTGGATGTTTTTTTGGCAGAATTTCGAATGGGCACCCTTAGGTTTCTACCTTGCTCGGGTGGGGGGAGGGGGGGGGCGACGGCCACTCTTTCCAGACAGCGTGAACTGCCCGGAAGGTCATGCTGCCCATGACCGGGATTCGAACCGGCGACGGTGCGCGTTGCAACCGGCRCCTTAATCCACCCGGCCACTACACCCCCAATTATTAATTTGTTATTCGTATTTGCATTACCTATATACTGTCAATGGCTAATATGGAATGTGACTGGTTCGGGAATAGGTGCAGACTAGTGGAAGGGGYTGCATGTTACTTGCGTCCCCAAAAAAAGGTATATTCTACAGGAAGTAAATTTGAATTTGACCGGTAACTTGCGTCCCGTTTTGGGGACGCAAGTCGGCTATATAATTATTATCGATATTTACTACTAAAATCACTTAAGTCGATAGTTTCGTGTCACTAAAATCGATAGTTCATAAACTTTACCTACTATATATAATAAATCTCACTATTTGAATTGAATACATGCATTTTTTTGTTATGCCAAAATGTAAAAAATATGAATTGTAAAATTAAAATTAATAAAAAAATGTGTTTTTTATTAACTTACTGATACCGATTATATCGATATTTTCGGGACACAATTAGGTTATAAAAAAAGGTGTTATACGGGAAGCAACTAACCAACCTACTGATAATATTTTCGGACGCAARTAGTACGTCCTATGCTCCCGTGGAAGGGTATCGACATCATAGGCGTGAGGCGTCCATCACATAAAAACGCGGAAAAACTTATACARCATAGTTGATAGTATTTTTTGTAGGTATCTGCATGTGTCCACGTAGAGTACTATAAATATAACATATTATACAGCCTGATTCACTATATACAAAATAGAAGATGCTTGCGTTCTTTTTTTCAACAATATAGTTATATTCAAAATCTAATTTGTAAATATATCTATACCACATTTTAAAATWATTGATGTTTGTACTAAATTAGAAGTAGATATCTTGTGGMGATAAAAACCTCTGTTTTTCAAACTATAGAAACTCTTTTTTTACCGTAAATTATTTAATACATAATTCTAATATACCTACCTATATAACTAAAAATAGTAGTTTTTCAGTTATTATAATATCCAWACTTAAGATAATTGCACTTAAAAAGAATTTGATTAAAATATCAAATAGATGTAGTCATATTGCATCTAGTAATATTATTATTATTATTATTATAGGTACTTTAGTGCCTAACCATTCTTACAAATTTATTATAAATGTTAATAGATTAACATTAATAATTATACACTCAAATCACCATTATAGCTCACGTAGTATCTTTCATTCTTCCAAACATATATAAATATATACATATATACTCTTCATACACAAAGTTATGCAACTCAAAAACTACTCTTTTGAATTTTGATTATAATACGTGACATTTTAGGAAATATTTTATAGTAGAAAAGGAGGTTCTCATTAAAAAAAATCTCAAGAGTTTCAAAAGTATTTTAAAACTCCAAAAATCAGATTTTGAATAATTGCATTGTTAAAGAAGAAAAAAAGGAGCGGGCGTGCTTAGTGAATCACTCTGTATGTYGGTTGTCGGTATGCATATTAACATGTTCAGAATTGGAATGCGATTCCTGCACCGTGTTACACCTGTATAACTGTATAAGAGGGCAATGGGTCAAGGGCTTATGTATATAATATATATATACGAGAACATACCTACTCTTTTTAACCATTTACATAAATTTGATAAGGGAGRTCTTTAGTGACGCCAAAAAAATTGAACATTTGTGCTTAATCACAATAAAGAGAAAAAATAAAATATAAATACATCAGAATCGACGCTACTATAGGTTGCCCAGCCCAGCTGAACACCACAGAAAAATATATTTTTATGATTAATGATGATATTATATTGTTCAATTATAATGTACCTAGTGTATTCGTCAAGGTATGCATAATATTTTTCAATAAATATGTCGGTCAACTGTATAGTAACCGGACATCACGCACAAACGCTTGGGTAACGGGTATGTTCGATGGTACCAATCGCGCTGCGGTCGTATTCATATCAGTACTACTATGACGCGTGCTGTATAGTCACGTCGATCGTATATCATAATAGACATAATATAGGTATATTTTAGGTAGTATATTATCTATTCTGTGGTATAGGTACGTCATACGTATGTAGGCACATACAGAGAGTTCGCCTATATGTCGCCCGCAGACCGCAATACGACGTACACGAGTACAACGGACAACACAACTACTTTACTGTCTATAGTGTCCTGCAACGCGATTTTCACCTATATAGGTAATAAAAAGTGTTCATGGCCGGCGGTCTAGAGACGAGAAATTCGCACGTTTAATGATTTATAAATTTWATATATAGTACTAAATAATACGTATTCGTTTCACACCATGACAAACATTTATCAGTAATCATAAAGACCGAAAATGTAAAATATAATAGTCTTGATAAATCGGTATGAAATGTCGTCGCCGATGCACTGCAGTAYTTATTACGGTTAAATTTACGCACACTTGCGCAACTATACGCGCTAGTTAAGTCTCCCTTATCACTCGCACCGGACCGTTTTGAAAATAAGATTTTGCGTGACGGTCGTCGTCGTCGTTGTGGTGGTCACGTATTATTATTTTAATAAAAGACGTTCGCGGTGGCTGTGCATACTCTATACGAGCACSGAGCATCAGTAGTGTATCGCCGCAGTGAAACAGCGATCGGTCAACCGTATACGAATCATATTATAATTATTATTATTATTATTGTTATTGTTATTTGTTATTACTTTGTTAGTTATTACTTATTACGGTCAATTACGCGCGGTCCGACGGAATTGTAATATATTATCATTTAATAACACACACGCAGATACGCTTGTCCGCGGATTATAATATTGTATAATATTGAATTCTAATATTACCTATACAGCTACTGCAACTTTATATAGCTACAGTCATAGTGCCGGACGACATTTCGAATTTTGTTTTTCATACTATTATTATTTATATTTAATTATTATTTTTTACTAGACCGGTTACTACGCACACGCACGCGCACACACACATTTATATTTATATACATATATATTATATATACTGTACCTATAATAGTATACTATAATTATGTGCTAGCTATATAAATATAGGTCTACCAACACAGCAGAATCCTTCAGCCGGCCAAACGACGTAAAATTATTACTAAATCATGGAGTGAGTATACGCGAAAATAAACGTTACCATAATAACAATAACAATAATTATTATGTGTTATATATATACATTATACATATATGTATATAGGTACCTACACCTAACTTATATTATTTTATAATGTGTACAATAATTGTCACTGATAGAATCAGCATGTATTATATAGGTGTACAATGGTTAAAATCTCAAACGCGTTTTTGGGTACCTCCCCTACCTATCTGCATTTATACCTATCTGGGATCATTATATAGGTACCACGGCATATAAATGTTGAGTATATATAACGTTGTTACGCAAACGGACACTTTAAAATAAAAAATATCCGTTACTTATTTGTTATTATCTATAATTGTTGAGCTATAATTGTATATAATATACAAAAAGCTAGAAAAAAAAAAATACATTACTTATAAATAATAGCTTTGCAATAGACGATACACACACACACACATATATATATATATATATGTGTGTGTGTGTGTGTGTGCCCTTCGTGAGTAATAATTATAGATGGGTGCTCATGTACATATAATATCGTTGTCAATCGTACTTTTGAATTTTGAAATATATTTCATGTCTTTAAATACTTCAATGTTAAATATATTTTCCAATTAACATTTAAATACAMTATTATATACCTGTATACAAATAAAAATTAATTAACAAATTATTTCAAATTCTTACTCTTCTATACGCGTTGTCCAGGAATTATTATTGTCCAAGATTTTTTGTTGTAAATACTTTAAATATAGGTATCTATTAAGTTTAGTAGAAACGAGTCAACAGCTGACAAATCAACTCCCTACGCATATAGATTTAGGATCAAGCATTATAATGTGTTATTTTATCAGATAGGTATAATTATACTATATTACTCTGCAGTCTGCAATAAGGATATTTAAAAAAAAATGTATTTAAATGCTTTAAATACCTACTTATAACGAATATGAATTCATCGAGTATATAGTTASTATAACCATAGTATACTAGATAGGTCTCTATGCATATTAAATCGCGGTATAAGAAAAAAACTAATTTTTGTTTTGAGACCCGACAAGAGTCACTATGTATATTATAGGTAAGAGTTTAAAACTATTAGATTCGAGGTCCCGGTATTAAAATAAGAAGAAAAAAAAACGTTGCGTTAATTACGACAGTGACGATTGCCGGTCACTGCAATATAACCTGATATTGTATTATGTGGTCTATACAACTTACTGCTTACACGTGTACAATTCTATATAGGTACCTACAAAGAATATATATGTATACATAACCGCATTAGGTAGGGGGACCGGTCAGTAAAATACATAAAGAAGTTATCATCAGAGAAAGTACGCGTTATCATAATCTTATCATTCGTTGCACGGTGTAGTGTGTACATAATATTGTTAATGAGTGAGTATTGAGTGCAAGTTCCGTATAAAAGTTACTCTCCGCAATCGACAATTAACCGATGATATTAATTTTAATAGTAACATGTTATATCAGTAATTACTAATTAGTGTCAATTGTTTCTATATACGCCAGCCGTTATATTACCATAACTAACTGTATATTACATAATCGACACGCAGACCTACATTGATTTTGTATAGTTTCTAAAATATACGATATTAATTATTATGTAATATAATCAATTAATGCATATAATCCAACGGGGATACGTACATTTAACCAACAGTAGGTTTATAACCAGAGAAGAGAAATCGCATAATGTATTATTATATACACATACCTACTGGTCGATAATATGTTGACGGATTTTATTCAAAATGTATGTAAAAAATATGCTTGTCAAACCTATGTTACTATGCGCCTAAAAATGTTCAAATACGCACTTAGATATGTAGTTATTAAACCTATASTTATGTAATCGGAGTTCATAAATAAGYATGAAAAAAAAATTATACCAARTATAAATTTTTTTCGATTTATCACCAAAACCTAATCTCACCTTAATAATTATAATTTCACACGTGCATGTATACATAGATTTTTTGTTTATTTGTTTTGATTAGACTAGTGGGTCTTATTTTCAAACATTTTATCATCTACCTATTGATTGGTGATTATTTTATTCTATAAAATATTGACAGTATTATTAAAGATCTAAGAAAAAATATGTAATTATTGAGTCTGAGTGATAACTGATAGATATTTTTTTTAAATGGGGGGGATACTATTATACTAATACATCAAAACTATATTTAAAATAATTTTAAATTTAAATTTAAAAAAGAAAATTTAGGTACAAAATTTGATGTTGTTCATTGAATTCTAASGAACTTCGCTGTTATGCTTATCATTTAATACGCCTTATAAAAAAATTGATGTTCAAATGTTGAAATGAATGAACATAAACAACACATAGTACGAGCTCTGATATAATTATACAATATACCTACATCCGTTTACAGCAACTTCTAGGTGCACCCATCAATCATCATAATAAAACACATAACCTAAGTAATCAAGTTTGCACCCATCGGCCATCGGGCACTTCCAAAGTAACAAGTATTTAGGTAATCTAAACGCAATAATTTTTCATTTAAACTTTCACTTGGTACTAAATACTAATGTTCCATTTATTGTGTCATATCGATTCGTTAGATCTTCATTGCGAATCTGTACTGCTGCAGCACATAGAACCATTGAAGATCTACATGTACTTGCATAAAATATTTATTATTACATTTAAAAATCCTCGAATAGATATAATRACTATACCTACTCGGTAAACATTTTTTTCCTATAAAATAATAGTAATCTTACCTACCTTTAATACTATCCATATTATATTTCRATTTTCGATACAACGAACAACGATCGGATGGTGGGGGAACGGTAGGATATATAATTACAGTAATAGTTATAACTACAGATTCCGTAGAAGTAAGAACCCGCGCGCACCCGTTTAGTAARCATAGTAACCGCGGTTCGAATCGATTGTAGGTATATATACTTACCTCTACACCGGCCGATATGTTCTCGGAAGAAAGTTAATGAGTTAAAAAAAATCACAATCCGTTCGTTGGCATCTTTTTTTTCATCTGTTATTGTTGTCCAGTGACTTCAAATCGAGCAAATTTTATAATAAAACTAATAGGAAAATTAATTTTAAAAATCAGTCGCGGTTTCGTTTGACTGCATGTGTGTATAGTGTATTTTTCTMATTCGCACGCAGTTAAAATATCGTTATTAAGTGAGCTTGTTAAGTATAGTCGTTACATAATAGTTATATATACAATGAATTTTGTTTTTTACGATTAAATAGAAGGGATCGATTGAATGAATATAATACATAATGTACTTACAATTTTATAATACCGCTGTAGCACACGTACCATTGAAATTTGAAATTGGCAACTACTAACAGTCTAATACTTATATATTTTTGTACAAGAAAATGCGAAAACATTAAATTAATTGTCAATCACTTGATTATCGGGCGTAAAATATAAATTATAATAAATTAAGTTAGTTTTGAAACGTTTTTAATTTGTATTTCAGTTTTAAGTGTTCAGTAATAATAATATTATTTATCATAGTATATATAAGCAGARACACACTTGRCCTACCTGTAACAACTGTGAGTTGAATAAACCGGTAACCATATTCACGCCATATTAGATAATTTCATATTATTAATATTGAAACTTGACATTATTTCCTATATCCTAAAGAGATAGTGAGTTATTATTTAAACTCTGTTATAGATAGGTAGTAATGAATAATGATAAATAAATGGAAATACTCAAATACGTAATCTATAGGGTATTAAAAATCGAAATATATTGTTGTCTATTATTCCTTTAAAATAATTAATCTTAAGCTTAGAATTTAAATTATTTTTTATTAAGTAGATAAAACGTTATAATAATCGTTAGTCGTTAAAAAAATCTTGGATACCAAATAATAATTATACAAACATTTTATATTTCTCATCGTGTGTCTAATCTCTGTTCAAAGTGGAAGGTGTCTATTGCCTGCTTTAGAGATAAAAATAACTTAACTATATACTATATAGGCATGTAGCCATGTCAAGGTATTAACTAAGCTGTTACGTGATTGTATAGACTAAAGAATATTGACTAATAGACAATTATCGGAACGTCATATGTGTATTTTTTCTTATATATACCTACGTAGATATTTGTTTCTATATAGTATGCTGTATTATTTTCATATTTCATATCATGAAAATATTGAATTAAAATGTATTCTTATTTTAATAGAATCATATAAATCTAAGATAAGAGCTAGAAGTGGCTAGGGTCCTACGGAAAAAATCTGTGAAATTAATTTTATTCATCAAAATAATTCGTTCAGAATTATCTCTTCTGTTAATCAACTTGATCATTTTATCAATCGTCAAAAAATTTTGTTTTTCTATTTTAAATATTACATAATATTATAAGACAAAATGTTATAATAAATTATTGAAGTTCGATTCCGGGACGACTGGGCACYGGCCGTTCCAAAACACTTATATCGGGATAAAAGGACGGTATATTCAAAACCGGTACCAGCTATAATACCTATAATCTATATACTTTACTGTAGACCAATCCGGGATGTATGGCAATCTCAAATATTTTAAAAAGCTTGTATACTTCAGTTATTAATAATTAATAATTATACTATATAGGCTTGATAACGTTTTTAAATTTCGGAACGGCCGATCACGTTATCTAGACGATACTTATCTAGTCTACAATATACTCGCTGCAGTCACCATAATCTACTATACAACAACTTCTACTCGAATACGACTATTACACACWTATATATAATATGATACAATATACATTAAGATTATTATAGTAGGCATATTTTATTGTTATTTATTAGTAGTCTTGGGAGACCGTATTACTATGCCACCAGGTTAATTATATATATAATGAGTGCAGCATGATATAATATTGATGTCGTTCTCCCAAGTCCTGCGGTCTGTCAGTTATAGATACTATATTCAAACATGTATAAGACATTTTCTTTATTGGAATAGCTTTTATGAATACATACATTTTGTTAATCGATTGGAAATCTAATACGTTTGGCAATCTCAGAAACGATAACTATTCATATCGAACCCTGTAAAATACTAAAATGTAATACAGTAATAGATTACCGTAATAAAATACCAATAATAGCTTTTTTAATTGCGAGCATATGTTTACTCTGAAATATAAAATTAATATACGAAATTACTCATTAAGCTTTAGGTAAAGCCGTATAAAATATTTGTAGATTGTAGATACTAGATTATTAATAATATTATTATATATAATAATAATAAATAAGTCTTAGAAATAAATTATTCGATATGTTTATTATTATTTTATATTTATACGCAATACTCATCATATTAATAATGCATTATAAGAGGTCAAGAGGTGTAGTATTTTACTATAGGTACGAACACAAAAAAAAAAATAAAATTGAGAAATAAATCTCTACTTGACAGCTCGTAAATTGTATGTAATTTCTGGCCCTTCGACAAAAGTTTGGTGTCAAAGCCGCAAAGTGAGCACTATCAGAGTTTCAGCAGAAAACCTTTGAACGCTTGCACTAAGTATATAAAATATAGAGATATTGAATAAATCATGTCGCGAAAAATAATAGATTTAAAGTATAAAATTAAGATTAACTATTTGTTTTTATATTACTGATTCTGTWTATTTGCTTATAGAGTTGATGAAAACACGTATTTACAACACAAACGAATGAAAGTGTATAGTTTAGAAACGAATTCTATCGTCGAGAGAAAATGGTAAGTTCTTGTTTTTAGATTGTAATCATTTTTATTTTTTATAATAACAAACAGTTTGAAATTATTTTAAAATAGCCTGTATTAAATGTCTCAAAAGAAACAGAATAATAGACACCTATCCATAAAAGAAATATCTATATATACTATATAGCRGTAATTTTTTTTTCTTTTTTACCAATCGGCARTTCAAGGTTTACAGCTTAAATTTACAAGTATAAAAGTAGCAAAGAAAATGTATTATAAATTAAATGACAATATACTATACTATGCACTATTATAGCAAACTTAAGTTATAAATAATACATTTAATTACATATTAAAATCAAAATTAAGATTATGTAATTAGAATATTAGATTACGATGCACATTCTATGTAAGGCCTTTACATAGAGGGACGGTTATGTCCATATGATGTATTGTGGGTTTGTACTTAAAAGAGGGATTGACTTCTGAAGAAGAACGAATGAGGGATACGAAAACTTACGTTGGATCGTTGGAGAGAGATCGAGAGCACCTATGCTTAAAGGCCTATTTATAATACATATATATTTTTAACATTCTCAAATTTTCATATGCGTATTATGGTTGTTTTTGTTTGCCCATCTGCAGGTTTCTGGACTTGTTAACGTGCATGTTCGGMGTGGGTGCTTGGATACTGGTCAACAGCCTGTACACACAACTGCCATTGCTCGTGCAGACCGCGCCCGAGGGATGGAACTTGCCGTCGTACTTGTCGATCGCCATACAAACCGGAAACGTGGGCCCGCTGTTGTACAGCGCCTGGCGCCGGAAGTACGGCAACCGGTACGACAGGCMGCTGACGATCGGCGTGCTCACTTCCGGCGTGGCGTCCGTGTTCCTGTTAGCCGGGTTCTATGACGTTACGGGCGTCGTGTTCGGCCGACCACACAGCGTTGTGCTCTACGTTCTCACGTTCGCCGTGGCGCTGGTCGGGTGCACTAGTTCCGTTCTGTTCATACCATCTCTGGCCCGGTATCCGGACATATACCTGGTCACGTACATGGTCGGCGAGGGCATCAGCGGTTTCGTGCCCAGCGCGGTCGCTATCGTTCAGGGCGTGGGCACCACCACTTGCCGGACGGTAGTGTGGCCGGACGGGCTGACGTCTGAGGTGAAGTCGACGACCGACGCACTTTTCTCGAGCGGTCCGTTTTTCGTCGGCGTCGGGGTGATAATGTGTGCGAGCACGGCGTCGTACCTGTGCTTGGAGTATTTGCCGACCTGCAAAAGAGAAAAGATTCGGACGCCACCGGACGACGACGACGGCCAGCAGACGATCGGCGTCGGCGGCACCGACAACCGCAGCCGTCGTCTGAGCGTTTCGCTGCTGGCCGTGCAAGGAGCGATCGTGTTCTTCGCCAACGGACTGTTGCCCAGCATCCAATCGTTCTCGTGTCTGCCATACGGTTACATGGCCTATCATTTTGCGACAAATCTGTCAAATATCGCTAACCCCGTGGCTTGCTTCGTGGCCTATTACACGAATCGAACGTCCAAAACTGTAATTTACACGCTGTGCAGCATTTGCTTAGTGTCCACGTTGTACATGCTGATGACCGCCTTTATGAGTCCATCGCCTCCATTACGCAATTCGACCACTGGAATAATCTTGATCGTAAGTAAAACTATCGAAAGACAAATCGTAATTAAACGCTGCAGATGTCCACAAATGACACTACCACTATACTACCAAATACAATTTTGAAATTTCACGTAACGCTTTATCTAATAATCTTTAAAAGACTTAACAGCTAACGATTTAGAAATGAATAGGAGAGATCGAAAGAATCGTAAATAAGTAGTCACCGGTCAGACGTTTATGAGCGAATTAACTTGAATGCGGATTTGGTAAATTGAGTCTCATTTAATTAATATTTTTAGGTAAACTGAGTCCCACTAAAARTAACAAGTAAATCGAGTCCCTAGTAAAAAAAATCAAAAACTGATAATAATGAGCACATACACAACTGAAAGGATTTAAACGGAGGGCATTTCAGACTAATTTTATTTTGAATATTGATGCATATTTGAAGGGTTAAGGCATATGTTGTTATAGGATCATAATATTATAATTAGTATATTTCATGCATCCTTAATTAATAAATTATTAACTCTTTCCTCTTTCCTCTTTACAATAAAGACTTGAATTAATGTCAATCAAAAATTAATTTGAAATTATCACAGAAAAATTGTTGATAATCAAATATATTTCTTAATTTAGGAAGATTATTTTTTAAGAAAATAAATAATTACAAGGCAGCTCATATGATTTATGATGAACCTTTGGTTGGACCTGGTTTATCTTTACTTGTATCGATATCAATGTTTATTAATTAYTAATTAGATACATATTATAWCATTTTTTCCATGCATAACTATCTGTATAATATTTATCATTTTTAATGCCTATACCTATATAATATAAACCAAATAATTCTGGTTTCTAGTTGTAAGTTATAACAATTTAATATTACAATAAAATATTTATCTATCTAAAATTATTTATAAAAATCTAATACCGTWCTATGATATTTTAGGTTTTTATGTGGGTTTTATTCTTTGGATGTGCCTCTTATGTTAAATTGTCAATAGCTGCAGTACTGCGAAATGAAGGTAATAGAGGACTATTTCTTTATGGTTGCATCACTCAGATTGGATCAACAGCAGGAGCATTGATTGGATTTTACTTAATTAACATTGTACAATTGTTAAAATCATATGAACCTTGTTGAAGGGTTTAATTTTAAATAATATAATTATAAACGTTCCTTTTAACAATTAATAATTTTATTGAATTAAAGAATATTTGTTATGAAATTGTACAATATAATTATTAAATTAAAAAATATTATAGTATACATACTTAAGACTAATTAATCATGTGATGCCGAAGTTAGAATGTTCAAATTATGTGATATTCTGGACATTGATAACAATATTTGTGGTATATTCAATTCAAATTCTCTACCTTCACTTGATTGATCAGTATTGTTGATTTCCGAAATATTCTATATTATACATAATAACTTTAAATGTTACAAGTATATATTTTTAAAATAATAAAAATACTTACCAAGTTAATATTTACTGATGTACTCGGTGTGTTAGCATTTTGATTTATTTCAATCGATGAGTCATGAGTAGYACTCGAATGAGTAGAATGAATATCTTCAGTACTGTCCTCCACATGGCTTATAAAACTTCTCACCTGAAATTAAGTAAAACGCAATATTAATACCATAATATTATCTGATAAAAATTATTAACTTTACAATCTTTTAATTTCAAAATGACTTGTTTGSAATTTTATACGTATGCCATGGGAAAACCAGAGCTATGGAAACAGGTGAAAAAGTTAGAATAATATAGTATTTAAATTTTAATTAATCAAATGTATTATTTATTTAATTCCTGTAAAAATGGATAATTAAACTTAAAATGTATAAGATGCTGTAAAATAAGTATACTGTGCACTTTAAATTTAATTCAATTCTATTATTATTTTATTACATTATGTTCTAAGTTTTATAATCCAAAATAATTTTAAAAAAAGGTTGTTGAAATTATTTTTGTAAATGTCCCGGTCAGTACTTGAGCTTTCATGACGCGCAAGTATTGGATAATAACAGAAAACCACAGTATCGAATCTTCTTAAGAGGATGTCACGCCTGCAAGTGTTGTCTCCGTTTTACACACATACAAAATAGCAAATTTTTATTCACTAGTTTCAATAGTGTGCTGTTAGTTTTGATATTAGATTAAATTGACTCAATATCAAACTTTTAGGTAAGAACATTATCTGTGTTCCCTTGTTGGTTTTTACAAAATGTTAATTTTTAAATGAATTATGTGCATTTTCAAATATTTATACTTACATACTCATAACTCCTCTAAAAATTAAAACGCTGTAGAAAACTAACAAGAGAACACATGATGTATAGATGTATAAGACGGTGAAAACATATGTGGATTTGATGTCTTCTTAAAAATAATTAAATAATGTAGAAACCATTTAGAAAATTAAAAGTGCCTAATTATTCTAGTTTTACAATTAATTATAATTTTATAGCGCTTTCTTGAGTTATTATGTAAACATTGTAGAGAAACAATCAAAAATGTTTAAAAGCCCAAGCTACATAATACCCCAAATATATGAATGTATATTTAGACATTTCGAGGTATTACACTATTATAATGGCAATAAAAAAATATGCCATAAGTTATAACTTATAATTGTTCAAGTTCAATATTATTAGAATTTGTCAAAATGAACTATGGATAAATATTAATAAGTACCTATTCAATGATAAGCATAATGTAAGCATTAAGCGACAACAAAAACTGAATGTACCTTATTGTGAAAAGCTGAAGTGTGCCTACTGGGTATTTCACGAGTTTTGGTCAGTGTCTATCAAAATGCACAATGTTATGTTGTAACATATATGAAACTATTACCGGCTCTTCTTCATCACTAGACGGCAACAAGTTGTACGGGTAATTCAACTGGTCGACGTGTGGAGTGATTTCCATGAAGTCGTTATCATCCCCTAAAATATCGTCTATAGTCAAATCGACGGTCTCCCTTATCTGAAACCGACACAACAACTTTTCACAGGTGTCATCGYTGTCCCGTATCATACACATGGCTGCTATAATACCTGTACTAACAAGTATTGGTCTGAAAACAGTAACATTTTATTTACTACAATATTTCAAGCCACAGTCAAACAACTAAATATAATGATTATAAAATGGGTACCAATTATGAATTTATGATCATAGAAAAATAAATGCAATAATTGTCATGTGATAACTGACAAATAGGATTAAACATAATTCAGTAGTAAGTATTAACATGCCTAGTGTCAACACGATTAATATTGGTGTAGGTACAAGTGATATGACAGTGTTGGTCAGTGGAGTAATTGTGGACTGTGGAGGCAAGATAATACTTGCCCTCATTGACATTGTTGTGGTGGAAAATGTGTCATTCCCTCATTCCTCCCTCAGATAATCCGACAATACAAATCATTGGATCGTTTAAAGTTAAGAAATGCAATATATTTAACATATTACAATCTTAAAATATTTTTTTTATAAACTATTTAATATAATTTAATATTTATTATGGGTTTCTTTTGTTATATAGATAGTAATATGTAGATGTATCCACAGATATATAAAAATACTATTTTTATAYATCTGTGGATGTATCGCCAATATTATAAGCGTTATAGCAATAATTACATTTAATAAAGCAATTCAATTGTTTGCTGGTTATATTTGTAYTAATTGATATTTATTATTTATTGTTCATTAAATACAAAATATAATATGTAAATATAATTTACACTAGTAACACTTTTAAGCTACTAAAATCACCTTTTAATTAATTAATTCTTATATTGGTTCTTGATACTATTTAACAATAAGAGAACCCAGTGCTTCCTACCTATAATTTGTTTCTTAACTATAAAATGAGTTTTAATACTAAACAGGAGAGGGGTATGGGTTTTTATTAATTATTTCGCCTAGATCATAAACCAGTCAAATTACTGGTCTCGGACGTCTCGATTATTGCCCCTTACCTGTCAAATGGGTAAAATGTTTGTAAGTCTAAGTTCAGCTGATTTCAATCATTAACTTTAAATAGCTATAATTTATAGGTGAGTGTAATATAGAGTGTTTTAACTTGGAGTAACTTGTAAACTTGCACTTATTACGTAGAAATCGATAGTTATAAGTTGTTACTCTTACTTGTTCCTATTTGTTCTATTTTATTATGTTAACAAAAACGTCAAAAACTACGATTGCCGATTAAAGATAATATACCCAATTATTTACCCTAGTCTTTATCAATTCGCAAACTGTTCAACCAGTGTGCCATACACAATAATACTATATAATGTAATATATATTTTAAGTTATAACCGTATGCCACAGAATAGATAGTCTTGGTATAAACCACGATTTAAGAACGGCGTGTCGGCGTGAATTACAGATTGTCATAAAAAAATCGAATCAGACAGATTATAACACAACACGTTAATAAGTTGACAACTCCAATTTATGGCTAATTTCTTCATTAATATACGCCATTCTGCGCTAATTGTTATTTCAATGTTTTTATTGTCGAACATCTTGAAATTTTCATGAATTGATATTTTTTAGAGTYGAGCCACAGAATTTTGAGATTTATTTCACTTCTTTATTAACATAAAAATTCTATGTTTTCTTTCAACTGCTTCAACTTACGCACAAAAAGCCATTTTTACTCCTCTGAAGTACCTTTTTTGGTTAAAGTAAATCATCAAATTTACCGTTTACCGTACCGACACACCAGGTGCCAACTAGTTTGTAAAATTCAAGATAATTTAAATTTTAAATTTGATTACCTTTTTACCGATAGATATTAATAAAAATATGTTTTTGTGAGAAATCTTGTACCTGTGTAGTACAAGCTATGTCATAATAATTTATTATTAAGTGTCAACGGCGCTTGTCTGTTTTAAAAAATGTAGGTATGAGGTATCATATATTGAACCATTAACATAAAAAATTTTTAAAAACTTACATAAATACTGATTCTTCTAGTAAAACTTCTGTCTGTGATGTTACAAATGCTATACCGCACTATTTTCTCCGCTCCGAAGTGGAAGTAGGTTTACTGCGATTTTTATGAAATTATTCATTTACTCGAACAGAATATATTAAATTGCCTTTTGCTATAGGTTTATATAGTTATTATTATACAATAAATAATTATAAATTGCCAATTGGWACCTAAARAGTCTTAGCGAGGTCTTAGAAATGTACTGTGTTCATCGATGAATAATCGATATATATATAATATCATGGTACTATTTTGACATAATCATAAAAGTTTAAAACTGTAACCATTATATTATATTCTACTTCACATACTGCTATTGTAGGGTCTTGCTCATAGTCAACTACAGTTATGGGTGTCTACAACAACAGAATAGAGGAAAAAAAGCTTGAACATTTTGTTGTAATTCAAAAATAATTAAATGTAGGGACTTGAAACCTTTTCCCTCTAAATTTGCATATTATAATTTTTTACAAAATAGATATTGTACCTATGTACTATGTATATTATTTTTGTTAAAATAATAATAATGAAATTAGTTAATTCGTTATATATATATATATATATAAATAAATAACTACATTACCTAGTAATTATAATTATACATTTTTATTTTCAAATAAATTAATGTTAATATCATAATAATATTATGCTGTCACCGTGTGACACGGTTTTGTGTGGTTTATTTTTGTGGGTAGGTTTTGGGGAGAGTTGAACCATYCTTTTTCTATGAACTCGTCGCCATCACTGTCCGTGTCACGCAACCTAAGTATCTATAGCCATATGGTTGTAGTCATCGCAATAGATAGCAGTACGGACTAATAAAGTCCGAGGACCGAGGATAGCAACCATTTTTCGTCTAAACCAGCGGTTCCCAACCTTTTTAGCAGGCGGTGTCCTATTGTTTTATACACATTTTGTTAGGTGCCCTTCTGTGAATATCACGAGAAACGTAATAAAAATAAACACTAGTTTTCATTYATAACTGATTTAAATAATTTTATTGAACATATTATTAATAAATTATAATTTTATTGTTGAAATTATAAAAAAAAATTCTGTTTTAATAGTGAAAACCTAATAATTAATGAGATATTTGAGGCTGCTTGTTTTTGGAAAGTTTGGCAATGTTTTTATCTATTATTGAATTATTCAACACATATTAGAAACACTATATCTAATATTGTATATACATAAAACATAATATAGTATTCTAAGTAATTTTGTACGTAAAATATTTTTTTGTCTTTTCAACTACGATTAATTTTTAATTTTTAATATATAATTTAATAATTTTTTTCATTCTCGGATGAGCCGTGGCGCCCCTTCAATGAGCTAATCAATTGTAATTACATAAGATATTTGTGACATTAGTAGATAAGTTTCCATAGTATAATAAATACAATGTTTTAAAAATAACGTATGTATATATTATATAGTATTTATTATAAAACATTTTTGTACTCATTGCTTTTAATTTAGTTAAAAAGTGTGCGTTAGCTGTCAGAATACGTAGAAGTTATGATTGAATTAGAAAATGATTTTCTGACAGACGAAGAAGAACCATTGGAGATGTACAGTGGAATTAAAAATGACACCACAACAAATGTCATCTCTGTTGGAGGTCCCGATAAATCTAATAACTCTCATGAATGTAAGTAATACTAATAACAGTTTTTATTTTATTGGTGACCAGAAAAAAATGTCCATAATATATGGACTTTATGACATTGATCATTATATAGTGTTGCGATCCCCAAAATAGGTGTAAAATATGGTTCATCATTTCACACTACCCTCCTTTTTCTTGTCTATATTTGGTACAAATTAGTGCAATAAAAATATCCCATTATAAACTAAACGAAATATACAATTTTATAAATACCCCCAAAGTCAAGGTGATCGCGGCCCCTTAGTTGAGAAGCACTGACTATACTATTATAACTAAGGCTAGGATTTATATGCATTTGCATGTTTTTTTCCTTAAGTCCAAATTGATTGGTTGTCAGATTTGTCVACGATTTGGCTTATTCTAGTTTAAATAGGACCATTTTTTTTGCATATTTTGGAAATAATGCATATAATTGCATATTCATAGATTTTTTTAGAATTCGATATTGTTTAGCTAACATTTTTTATAAGTTATTGTTAATTTTAAATGGTACTTCACGAAACCGACAGTTTTTGGTTTATCCGTAGAATTTTCGTAAATATATAGCATAACTACTACCTATTTTATCTTAGGTCGGATAATATCTGTTAGTTACCTTGATGATCGGACGACTGATAGAATTATTTACACATTGTTATACAGTGAGACAGTACAGAATAATTGTATTAGTACGTTGTGTGTTGCGTAAATGTGCGGACTTAATAATTAATATTTATAATAATAAACTTAATAATTAATACTTAATAATTTGAATGGTTTTAATAACAGTGTCCAGTATGCTGAAAGTTCAAAGTGAAAGTGCCAAGTTACGTCTAATTAAATTAATATTTAATGTAATAATAAGTAATAATAATAAATTATGAATTATAATAAATAATAACAAAAATTTGTTTTTGCATATATTTTGGTAAATAAAATGCATATTTTACAATTTTTTATTGCATATAAATCCTAGCCCTAATTATAACTATTATAACTATTATAATAGGCTTTTAATAATAGTAAATAACTATTTATATTCTGTTTGAACAGAAACATTTTTTGAAATTATTCTTCTCATGTTTAAGGGACAGAAACCGAAACATATAAACATAACTCTGAATGTGATATTACTCCTAAACAGTTTGAAAGTGTTAATAGTGAAACCTCGACCTCCCAATCGATAAATAATACATTAAAAAACCAACAAATTATACTTGCACCGGACAATCCTATCATGGCGAAAATTCAAAATATATTGAAATTACAGCTGTTGAAACAAACGGAAAACATTAAAAAAGAAATATTAAATCTTGTAAGAATAATATAAACGTCATACTTATGAATCATAAAAATAACTTGGCACTTAAATATTGTAAAAAAAAGTATTAATGAGCATAAATTATATATTATTTACATTTTTATGAAAATAATCATAAATTCATAACCAATTTAAAATACAATCCTTTGATTTTATTTCTAAACATAAAAATCTTAAGTAATTGTTAGTAATATATTATACTATCATTATCACATGGTATAAAGATAAAATAAAATAAAATTTAATACTTTTATTTTTTTATTTTATAGAATACTAATGCTGAATCCTAATGAAAATAAATTTAAAACGTCACTATAAAGGTTTTAAATTAATTCAAACTAATTTTTTAGAGTATGGTAGTTAAAGTCAAAGAGAGAGAAAAGTCTTCTACCATTGGTATGATAAATATTGCAAATAGCAGAGTCGCAGTACAGCAAAAACAATTGAGTGACTTTCACCGAATGAAAGAGGAATTGGAAACAGCAAACGAAAAATTGGAAAAAAGTATTAAGCAGCAAATACAACGTCAAAAAGATATTTTGGCGAAAACTGCAGAAAAAGAAAAAAAATGTACACTTAAAAAAAACCCTTATTTCGTTTTTACAATTTATTAATTTCTGACTAGTTTCGGTTTTAAAAAGACAGATAGAATACAACCGTGAATTTCTGATTGAACTTACAAAGCATGAAAAAGAGCAGGAAATTAAATTTAATAAGTGTGATCAAACAAAATATCAAGCAAAACAATATAAAAAAAAATTATTAAACAACCAGCAAAAACAGGTGATGTTTACTTAACCTATAAAAATAAAATACTTATTAGACTAGTTTAAAAACAAGTCTGATTAACTACATGTAAAGCACTCCCATCAAACGCTAACTCTTCTCAATACTACGTCTCCAATTTCACCTTACACATAGAACACTAAGAATTCTCACGACATATGAAGTTGCCAAAATTAACTATACACATTTCCACAAAATGCTCCTAATCACTTAAACCCTCTTATCTTTAATTTATCCTCGACCACATTCCTAGAAATCCAACAAGAAGACTCGAGCGCCTATGACTTCGGAACTTCTTGTAGAGCTAAGCCTTAACGGTACCTGTAATCTTTACAAAAATGCATAATTAATAACAATAACAACTAATTCAACCGCTGAAGTGCAGTCGTTGGTCAGTCCCTTTTATCATGCCTACATGGTTATAAATATTC